TTTTATGGTATATATGGTTCAAATTGTGGGTTCCAATGTATATAATGTACAAAATGTGATTTTGTATCTTTATGTTGTCATGTTTTGGAGTTGCAATAAAAGGAAAGACCAAATGAAAAATCTGACACTGCTTGGATCTGATAATCCATGGTGGTACCTTTTGTTTGTCTTGTTTAAGGTTTCCTCTTCTTTGTTTCACATTTTTTTATCAGGTTCTTGAGGGGTATGGGGTAGCTGAGGACATGGATTCTGCACATCCAAACTTTGAGAAATGCAACATTGTATTGGGTTTGACAGGTTGGGAACAATACAACATGGTCAAAAATCCTGAAAAGCTAAACAAGATCAATCATATCCTGCTCCTCTCTTACTATGTTGGTGTTCTAGGTATCTCATATGTTTCTCTCGTGAATTCCTCTAACAAAGTATGAACAGTTTTTTTTTGTTTGGACCACCCGGTATCCGGAAACCCACTGAGCCACAGACTAATCCAGATTCGAGTCGGGCAGGATCCAACGGACGACAAAACTCTCTCTCACGGGTTTTAACGGAGCTACATTCCTAGGGCTTAAAACCAAGACCTCTGGTTAAACTGAAAAAGTTTTCTGTCAACTCATCCACTAGCTCGTGGGTATAAAGTATGAACAGTTGCTTCTTGCTTAAATAACTCCAATATCTTCATCACATATATTGGTTGTTGTTACTGGCAACCACTAGGCAATCACTAGGCAATTTTCAATGTAAATTACTAAATTCCATGTCTACAATGCTGACTTTATCACATTTTGGCCTTTGTTTAGGTATGCATGGACTTTCTGCATATGTGGGTTTTACAAACTTTGTGCTCCCAAGCAAGGGGAAACTGTTTATGTTTCTTCAGCGACAGGGGGAGTAGGCCAACTTGTTGGTCAATTTGCTAAGATGGCTGGTTGTTATGTGGTTATAAGTGCTAGCACCAAAGAAAAGGTAGAGATTTAGTTTATGTTTTCATTTCAATCTCTTTAATCTAACACACAAAAAGAAGACTCCAAGTTGATCTTGCAAAAAGCAAGTTTGGATTTGACGATGCCTTTAACTATAAAGAAGAGCATTATTTAGGTACAGCATTGAAAATGTCATTATGTGTGATATCTAAATCCCACATCTAAGAAATATTGAAGTCATGAATGCTATATGTGATATT